AATCTACCAATCAAAACGCGGTATACAAAAAATTCATCCAAATCATACAGGCTATGATTATTAAGAAGTTTGTTTGGCCGTCTAATTATTATCATAATGCCGTCACAGATCGAGGACGTGCGTGTCTTTAAGCTGCCTCCACGTGTCCTCGTGTGTTTATCAGGACGTAAAATGAACCCTTACAGTTGAAATTAAATTGCTGTCCGGGGCCCTTATTCACGAAAACTTAAACTAAGATACAATCGAAATTTTAAGAAATACTGCAATTCGATTGGCTGACCAATATGCAAATTGGATGTATGCAAATTGATTTTACTGGTCAGCCAATCGAATTGCAGTATTTCTTAAAATTTCGATTACATCTTAGTTTAAGTTTTCGTGAATAAGGGCCCTGGCAAACTTTTCCACATAGCACACATACCTGACTTCATTATCCCGGTTGGTGCAGAAATGTTGGACGTTAAACCCCATTCCATTTATCCAAATTAAAGATGCGATAATCCGAATAAACAGAACGAAAATAACCCCAAAATTTTAATTAAAGGGACAATAACACTCTTGCTGGCTTGACAGCCCCAGAAAATAAAAAAAATAGCCTTATTCTAAGTACTAGATGTGTTAGTGTCCTGCCTGTTGTGTAAATTATCCATTAAATCCTATTTTACTTATCAAGAGGGTTCAAAAATATTTTTAAATCCAAGTCACATTTGAAAAGGTTTACGTTAGGCTTTTGAAATCATTTAGTTGAATTTTTCCAATTTTTTAAATTAGGTGTGTTAAGATGAAATTTGTATCATGAATTAATTGGAATATTGTAAAATAGTACAATTTGTTGACCAGAATAAAGATTGGGACATATTATTCAAATACAACAAGAGTGGTATTGAGCCTTTAAACATTTTCACGTCCTTTTTAGTTGTTTACGACGTCTTTTCAATACAAATTTTTATTTATAGTTGTGTGAAATTTCGATTTTCAAATTTGATAATTAATTGCTCGAGGGCCGGTCTTGAGGATATTTTTATAGACGTTTATGTCCATAGTACAGTAGTACCCATACTTAGGCATAATTATATACGCCAATTCATAACAATAGTGAACGAATGTGTAAAAACACCACAAATGAAAAAAATGATCAGTTATATATAGTACCACATAATCGATGTATTTATGGCCATTGTTGTTTAAGAACGGGTTTTGTAATATTTATGAAAATGCCTTGCAGATATACACGCTAAACACGGGCTCAGATTTAATAATTGTTCGCGAGTTATATTTGGCATTATACTTTGAGATAATAAGACACTATAAACGCTGCTTGTTAATCGAGACTTACGCTAGTCTCGATAATCCAGAGAATCAAGGCGTGTGAAATGAATGAAATGAGATTTGACTTTCAACTTTTCGGCACCAATCCGACTAACGCATTAAGGTATACCATATCAATATAACCAATCCGATTAAAACACAGATCCTATTTCGTTGCGTTTTTTATATACTCTTCAAAAAAGTAGGGGATATTCAGAAATAATACAAAACTGCGGAATGCACTGCCTACACATGAACATAACAGTTCATATGGGCGGCTTATCTGACGGCCCAATTTCACTCGCGAAGAGATACACTGTAAAAAGTGAAAATGGACCGTTTAGATTTTTGTCTTAATAATGAGTAATTGCTCCACCAATCCTCAGACATTCAGCAGTTCGTCGTGGCATGCTCCTAATCAACCGTTCAATCACGATTTGGGGCAATCTGACCCACTCCACTTGCAGTGCCAGGGCCAATTCTTACAGTGTTGTCGGTTGACGTTGACGTCGACGAACACGTCCCCCGATCAAATTAAACGTAACACACTAAAGCAAAGGTACGCTAAACCGAAATCTTATGCAAGAATCGATAGGAAAGCAAACATGAATAGGACAAACCAGCAAGCGGCAGTTTTCATCAACCCTTCCTTGAAGTGTCAAATTTGACTATGAACCCTTCCCACGTGTATGGCGCTCTTGCTTATCGCACATGCAGCTCAGTGGTTCTGTTGGGGCGATAAGTTCTTCACCGAGAACATACTCTCAAAGCATGTCAAATGTCCATGACTATTTATCATATCACAACCTGCATAGGTATTTACATTTCAATATCCCTTACGTTTTTTGAAGAGTATAGTTTAAAATTTCGTTTTACTTGTCTTTACTACACTAGGATCTGGAAGAGTTGTTATATAACCCGCGTTCTGGATAATAACATGAGCGTTGATTGGTTATTCAAATTTCTGACGTCATAGGGTCAAAAGCCACCCGTATGACCTTTGAGGCGACCTTCCACTACAAGCGGTCAGATCTTCATATGTAGTGTAGGCCATCGAAAGTATAAAAAAAAAACGAAACGAAATATAGATCTGTATTATTATCAGATTGTTATACCCAGGCTTTACGATGTACAATAATAAAGAACAATTTCTCTCTAGAATTTTTTTATTTTAAAAACACTGCCGAGGGTGGAACACAACTTCGTTTTATAAAAGAGTTTTCAAAACTTCCTTTCTACACCATACCAGGATTGATTTAAATAAAGAGTTGTCCTTTCTTGTTCGAAAATAGGAATGCAAAATGAATAAACTGAAAATTTCATATAAATTCTTTAATTCTGAGTGAGAGAGAGAAATGGGGTTTAACGTCCACTCGACACTCGACACAGACTAGTTCATTTCGGGACTAACATATCGTTGAATTTATTTCAATAATTCGCTTATGCGTAGGGGTCTTTATCAGTAGGAGGGAACCGGAGAAAACCCATGAGGTTATACAGGCGACTCTACTCCTTGTGACGTACAGACATGCGCAATGTAGTGTGCTATTGGATCGGGGGGGGGGACTTTTGCCCGGACAACGACGCTACGACCTACTATTCTATCGATTTCCAACTGTCAAGGGTTCTTTTGCGTACACACCAATGTGAGCATGGGTCCTCGGTTTTTCGTCCCACCCGAACAACTATTCTAGGCTAAAAATGTACGCCATCTTCTTTGTATTAACATTTCATTCTCTAAGACAGCATCTTTATGTACAAATTTCCTTTATCAGGGGTTGGGGTGACCGAATGGTTAGCACGTGCGCGCTGTATGATAAGGCCTGTCATTGAGTCAACTGGCGTAGTTTCGAATCCCCGGTTGTACGTGACAAGGATAAGGGTCGCCTGTCCAACCGCGTGGGTTTTCTCCGGGTCCTCCGGTTTCCTCCCACTGCTAAAGACAGCTACGCGCAACCGCATTATGGAAATAAAATTGAACCATATGTTAGTCCCGAAATGACCTAGTTTGTGTCGAGTGGACGTTAAACCCCATTTCTCTCTCTCTCTTTTCTCCGTACGATCACAAGACCAATGTTGAATTGAATTGACAAATGAAATGAAATGAAATGAAATGGGGTTTAACGTCCTACTGTTCTGCTCCTAAACTGGGCTAATGAAGACGGGCATACGCCATACAGTGTGCTATGAGGAAAATTTTGCCCGGGCAGCGGCACTACGGCCTACTCTTATATCGAATTCCAACTGCCAAGGGATCTTTTACGTGCACGCCAATGTGTACACGGGACCTCGGTTTTTCGTCACATCCGAACGACTAGACAGATGTCCTTGTTAGGCCCTCCGTCCTACATCACTGACAAGGGGAAACCACGCCGGAAAATCTGAATGAACTTTCTCGGCCAATGCAGGGATCGAACACCCGACCTCCAGGCTAGCGAGCCAGCGTCTAAAATTCGTGTTTTCAATGTCAAAGATTTTTGATGATATTGAGTTAGAGACCTTAGCTACTTTAATCGGAGGTGTACGTTTGTTGTTTGTGATGTCTGTAAATTGTGTCTTGTCCGTTGATTTGCCTTTTGTAGTTATTTGTGTGTGATGCCGTCCCCCTTAGAAAATGTTTTCTTCAGTATTAACGCGCTTTATAAATGACGATATTATTATTATTATTATTATTATTATACTTGCTATTACAAGCTTCACTGTGAAAGTTGAATCTCTAAAAAGGAATATTTTCAGTCCAATTTCATTCTGTATTTACAAAGATATGTGGAATGGTGCATTTCGAACCATCGGCATTCGCTTCAAACAAATAAACAAGTCAGCACCATCTCTAAATTTTGGGTCATATCTTTTAGATTTAGTCCGAATATATTTCACGAGAGAGAGAGAGAGAGAGACGGTGCGGCGGAAGGGGGGGGGGGAGAGAAATGGGCTCCAACGTCCACTCGACACAAACTAGCACATTTAGGGACTAACACATGGTTCGAGATTTTATTTCAATTATAATTTGCTTGTGCGTAGGGGTCTTTAGCAGTGGGAGGAAACCGAGGGACCTGGAGAAAACCCACGCGGTTGGACAAGCTATCCTACTCCTTGCCACGTTCAAAAGGGGGATCGAAACCTTGCCACTTGACTCAATGACAGACTCTGGGATGTCACGCGCACGCATTAAACCATTAGACCCCCCCCCCCACACACACACACCTCGGCCCAAATAATTAACTTAACAAATTTTAATGAAAATGAAATTGATGATCTGTGGTATGGAACGAACGATGATCTACCCTGTAATGGAATAATCAGAACTAATTACAAATATTTCGATCAAATCGACTTACGTAATGGAGCTAGGCCTTCGTATATTTACTTGTTAATAATGAATTAATGCTCTATTTTTACCATCCGCAGATGGTAGAATACTGTAAGATAATCAATGGTCTCGCTGACTTGTGCGTCTGTTGATGTGATAATGTAATGTACAAAGCTATAAACTATACTAATGTAATTGAATATCGGCACCATTTGTAATAGATAAACTAATAGCCTCGTTTCCGCTGCAGCAGGCGTTACCTAATATCCCTACGCGTGGGTAGTTTACCCAATCACGGGAAGACTTCACGTGGACCGGAAATAGTGGTGGAAGCTTGAAGGTTTAGAGGTATGATTATAAACAATTGGCGATAATTTGAAAGATTCGGTGGGAGATTGTTTTGTTTCACGTGGTTTTAAAAGCTTGAGGCTGGATCTAGAATTCACAAACAGAACGCGAGGCAGCGAGAAGGGACGTGAACAAAATAGTACTTGTAGATATAATTTACCTCTCGTTCTCAGAAGCCATGATTGTTTTATCAAACTTTTTAGCAGTTGGACTTGTTTTCTTTTTAAATTTAGGTAAGTTTGAACCTTGTATATTTTTTTTGGTAATTGGCAAGTTGAGAAGACGGTTTCCAGATGATTCACAATGATGTCAGGGATTCGATCCCTTGTTCATCGGTGTTTTCCAATCTGGCTTCCGCCTGTCAATTGTGCACGTCAGAGGGGCTGGAAAGGAAAGAGAGAAAGGGAAATGGGGTTTAACTTCCACTTGACACTAATTACGTAATATTTAGTTGAGATATTTAGTTGAATTTGGTATACACAGATTCCGCAGTTGTACGTGACAAGGAGTAGGGTCGTCTGTCCAACCTCGTGGGTTTTCTCTGGGTCCTCCGGTTTCTTCTCACTGCTAAAGACCCCTACGCGCAAGCGAATTGTGTAAGTAATTAAACCATATGTTAGTCCCGAAATGACCTAGTTTGTGTCGAGTGGACGTTAAACCCCATTTCTCTCTCTCTCTCTTTTGTCATTATATCTTTAAATCATTTCCAGTCATTGAGTCAACTGGCGTGTTTTCATTCCCAGAGTCCTTCGGTTTCCTCCCACTGCTAAAGACCAATACGCGACAGCGAATTATTAAAATAAAATGTTAGTCCCGAAATGGCCTAGTTTGTGTCGAGTGGACATATCCCCCCTCTCTCTCTCTCTCTCTCTCTCTCTCTCTCTCTCCAATTGTTAACATTCATTGTTGTTAGATTACTGCCCAGGATCCTGTTTCTCGAAATCTTAAAGTAGCTAAGTCTCTAACTCAATATCATCCAAAATCTTCAACATTGAAAACACAAATTATTTGTCAATTTAAATCAACATTGATGCTGTGATCTTACCGGAAAAAGATGGGCTTCTGATATCCAATACTTAAGACAAAATAAACATTTTACCATCGGTACACGAATCGTGTACCATAATGCGTTTCAGCCCCAGTTCTAGCAAGAGACTTGAGGAACGAGGCTAGACATATTGCACCAAACCAAACGGCGTATGTAGACTGGAATAACCAGGCGCTAGAAATTTGCATTCGATTGAGACTGCTGGCTTATTTCGCGGAACATAACTGATTTGAAATTAGAGTAAAAACGGAAACCATTGAATGTATATCAGTTTATATACATTCATATTACAGTATTATATGAGTTGCGACCCACTTGTGTCAATTTCTAGGTCCCAAATGTTAGCGATTTAGCTCCTTTAACTAAAGATAAAATCCAAATTTTAGTAGATTGGCTACGCACTAAAATTAATCTAATAATATCCAATCAAATTACTGAAATCTGGATTTCATCTTAGTTAAAATTTTGTGAAACCGCCCTTGTTTTATGAATTTTTATATAGTTATTATTCGCTCAAGAGAATTGCGATCAGCCTCGGCTAATTTTGTTAAATTGGGGAATTAATTCCGTTTCGCTCAAAATTCCGCCAAGAGATCGATTATTTAACAATGCTATCGACAATAAACAATAATTACCTTTGATAATTACTAACATTAATTGATTTGTAATTAGTGACACATTATGACAAAGTCTTGCGTGATGGGGGCGATGACTTAAAAAAAATCAAAACTCGACTCTTTAAACAGTTGACACATCAAAAAGAACTGATACACTTCTACGTCGTGTTTTTCTGAAAATAAACACGGAGAACATCTCTTAGGCAATATGTGATTTGGTAAAACACGTTATTATCATTTTAAAAATGTGTTTCGACCTTTCTGTTTGTTCCCCATTGTGTTTGATGAGGCCTGTTCGATCTATTTATAAACAAAGACAACTATCTAAATAAAAATACATTAAAAAGCAATTTTCTTCTGATGAGGAATTCGTTAAAAAATAACTGAATGCTATCCAATGATGGCTGATTTCTACGTCATTATTTGATGGATTTTTTTAAAAAAAGAAATAAATGCCAATAAACGGTCGTCAAAGGAAACTGGAAATGAAATGAGATGAAATAGAATAGGGCTTAACTTTCTACTTTTCTGTTCTACAATGAAATAAAATGGGGTTTAACGTCCTACTGCTCTGCTCCGACTGGGATAATGAAGATGGGCATACACTATACAGTGTGCTATGAGGGATATTATGCCCGGGCAGCGGCACTATTGCCTACTCTTATATCGAATTCCAACAGCCAAGGGATCTTTTACGTGCACGCTAAAGTGTACACATGACCTCGGTTTTTCGTCCCGTCCGAACGACTAGACAGCTGTCTTTGTCAGGCCCTCCGTCCTGCACCACTGATAGGGGTAAACCACTTCGGAAAATCCCGATGTACTTTCTCGACCAATGTAGGGATCGAACCCGCGATCTCCAGGCTAGTGAGTCAGCGTCTTACCCACTTAGCCACCGTGGGTCTTAACTGCTCTGCACCGACTGGGCTAATGAAGGCGTTCTCACGCCATATAGTGTGCTATGAGGGTATTACTCTTAACCGTATTCCAGCTGTTAAGGGATCTTTTATGTGCACGCCAATGTGTACACCGTTTTTGGTTCCACCCGAACGACAATACGTCGTCCCCTGCCAGGCCCCCCTTCCTGCACCCCTGACGCCGGAGACACCCATTAAGATTTGTCATTTTTTTTTTTCTAAACAATATTAAGATTTGTCATTGAGTCAACTGACGTGGTTTCGATTCCCCGGCTGTACGTGACAAGGAGTAGGGTCGCCTACGGTTTTCTCCGGGTCCTGCGGTTTCCTCCCTCTGCTAAAGACGCCTGCGCACAAGCGAATTATTGAAATAAATTGAACCATAAGTTGGTCCCGAAATGACCTAGTTCGTGTGGAGTGGACGTTAAACCCCATTTCTCTCTCTTAAGTATCCATAATTATACTTTTTTGCCATGGTAACATAAATTAATAGTGTTCTGTAAACAAATGAGTTCAGTCATGTTTTTATATTGAGCCTTGAGAGTTGAGTCAAAAACCATCAATAAAAATCCAAGAATATCTCATATTAGAAGGTGTTTAATTATATTTGATTACCATCTCACGGATTATTTCCATAAACCCATTTTATTCAATAAAGACTAGCAATAAGGAACACGCGAACACAGAGCCACAGTGGTTAAGTGAGTAAGACGCTGGCTGGCTAGCCTGGGGGTCGCCTATTCGATCGCTGCATTCGTCGAGGAGTTTCATTGGGATTTTCAGACGTGGTTTCCCCTTGTCAGTGTTGCAGGACAAGGACAGCTGTCTAGTTATTCGGATGAAACAAAAAACCGAGGTCCCGTGTATACATTGGCGTGCACGTAAAGTCCCCTTGGCAGTTGGAATTCGATATAAGAGTAGACCGTATTGCCCGGGCAAAATATCTAATTAAAATACAGATCTATATTTCGTTTCGATTTTTATACTTTCGATGGCTTTCACTACATAAAGATCTGATCGGTTGTACTGGAATGTCGCGTCAGAGGTTATACGAGCGGCTTTTGACCTTATGACGTTAGACATTGAATAATCAATCAGCGTTGACGTTTCAAGTGGATTACCCACAGTTCCGTGCACCGCACGCCAAAAGCTCGTCGTAATAGACCGTTTCATTGGCTAATTCCTCACACCATCAAGAATGCGGGTTATATAATAACTCTTCCAGGTCCTAGTGTAGTAAAGACAAGTAAAACGAAATTTTGAACTTTAAAAAACGGAACGAAATAGGATCTGTGTTTTAATCAGATTAATGAGTATATAATATATCTTTATCTGACATAATTTGTTTAAAATATAGTTCAAACTCTTATTTATTTTCAAACTATTTGTTCTTTATCTAGTTGGGGGGGGGGGGGGCAAATGGTTAGCACATGCGTGCTGTATCGTAAGTTCTGTCATTGAGTCAACTGGCGTGGTTCGATTCCCGATTGTACGTGACAAGGAGTAGGGTAGGGTCGCCTGTCCAACCTCGTGGGTTTTCCCCGGGTCCTCCGCTTTCCTCCCACTGCTAGGGCAAGCGAATTATTGAAATAAAAAATCGAACCATGTGTTAGTCCCGAAATGACCTAGTTTGTGTCGAGTGGACGTTAAACCCCATTTCTCTCTCTCATCTTGGTGTGGATGTAAACTTTAGCTACTCTTTGGCGTTTCAATCTACTGTTTCTAAATAAAAATTTAAAAATGCATTGGAATGGGCTTTAACATCCTACTGGGATAATTAAAACGTTTTATGAGGAATTCCAACCGTCAAGAGTTCTTCTACGTGCACGCTAACGGGTACACTTCGGTTTGTGTGTCATCAACCCGTCTAGACACTTTGTCCTTGTCGGGCGTTTTTCTTTCTCCACTATTGAGAAGGTCAATCAACGCTAGGAAGACCCAAGGAACTTTCTCGACGAGCACCATAATTGATCTCACTCTAATGTTGATATCGTTGATTCAGAAGCAAATAACAGTTATAAATGAAAATATACGACACTAATAGATCAAAGTCGTCAGTTTATATACATAATGTGTATTAGTTAGTTAAAATTGTTAGTAATCAGGCAGTAGTCATTAAGTAGATGTTTTGTCACTAGGGGGTTAAAACTGTGACTGTTGAATGATATACACCACTATGGGTGTTAAAAACCGTCACGGTTTTACACCAGTAGTGACATCTTTTACAGCTTGTTACACACCTGCTAATTAATGACAACTGTATAATTTCTAACAACTGTCTATATATACTAAACATTAGTTTATAATAATGACCCTTGTTAATAAAAGGCCTAGCTCCATTCGTCAACGGTGCCAGCTTACCAGTGCCGGAATGTATTCCACCAGTGCCATATTCACTTTAATGGCTCGCCTTAATAAAATAAATTGTATAATAACTAAGTGATGACGTTAACAGGAAGACTGTGTAATATCTGCAATATGACACGTGTTAATCGGAGTGCCATTAACATGTCTAGTTCACAATGCACGTGTGATAATTGTAAAAACTAACCGTTATCTATAACGCATTCGTTAATCCCTAGATAACGGTGTGATATATTAGTCGCCTGTTGCCCTTGGCGATGTTTTATTTGATTTGATGCTAAAACATG